CTGGGGCTCGCACCTTGTCCTGTACTAGGGAAAACTGGGTGTCACAAGACTGGGTTGTTAGCCCCCGAACTACAGCAACAACGGCTCCCGCTCGATATTTCCTCGCAGTGAATTCCTACATCGCGCTCTCGCGCGGGACGTCCTCACAAGTTACACAAGAATCGCGTTCTCGCATGGAGCTCCCTTTCAACTTCTGACACCCAGGAATCGCGCTCTCGCTGCGGATTGCTGGACGATTGACTTGGGAATCGCATGTCGTGCGAGACTGCCTCGCGGCTCATGCAGGACGCACGCTTCAACAACCCGCCTGCCTGCTCGACCTGGCCGCGTGGGTCCGCCTTCCCGACCGGCCCGTCAGGGTCCACCCGCCCGATCTGCCCGTCTGGTTCTGCCATGTGCTTTCTGCTCCCAGCCCCCCTCCTGCTACTCTCTCTCGTGCTCCATCCTCCTCTTCTCCCCCTTGTCCCTTTCTTCCATCCGTCCTCTCTTCCCCTGTTGTAGGGGCTGCACGAAATACACGCGGCAGGTAGGGAAGATATACCTCCAAGGGGGCACAATCGAAGACGACGAGGGCGGGGAGAACCTGGTTCTGCCATGTGCTTTTTGCTCCCACCTCCCCTCCTGCTGCGCCCTTCCGTGCTCCATCCTCATCCCTCCCACTTACCCCTCCCTTCTATATGTCCCCTCTTCCCCTGCCTTAGGTCTTGACGTGCTCGTTGTTGTTTTTGTGGAACTCACACCCCTGCCCCCCGAGTTACAACAACGGCTCCCGCTTGACACTTCCAAACCATAAATTTCCATATCACGCTCTCGTGCGGGACGTCCTCACCATTTATCCAGGATTCGCGCTCTCGCGTGGGACCCCCTGGCAATGTATTCACGCATCGCGCCTCCAACCCTCGGGAATCACGCTGTCGCTTTGGCCTCTCTCACGATTTCCTTGGAGCCGCACTATCGCTCGACACTTCCTCTCGATTCGTGCTCACGCTTCAGCAGCCCGTCTGCTCGACCTGGCCGCAGGGGCCCGCCTCCTTCCCGACCCGCCCGTCAAAATCTACCCGCCTGGTTCTGCAACGTGTTTTCTGTTCCTACCCCCCCCCCTCCTGCCAATCTCCGTCGTGTTCCATCCCCTCTGTTCGAGGGGCACTACACGCGGCAGGTAAGGAAACTATGCCCCCAAGAGGGGTGCGATCGAAGACGAAATGGCGGGTATAGAGGGTTCGGGATAATCATGTTAAATGGCATGCGAGCAGGTACAAGCGAACGAGTATTCATAATATGACTGAACTCTCATTCAAAACAGAAAGAAAAAAAACAACAACAAAAAAACGATTGTTGGCCCGCCCCTCCGGTAACCATTGTATTTTCCAATTCAGAATTATCCCGGGGCTCGCACCCTGTTTTTTATATAAAAACCGTGGTGCCACCAAACTGCGCGGTTGGCACCCGATTTACAACAACAACAACAACAACAACAATCATTTTACCCGAACGCTCAGTGTTCTCACCAGTGCCAGGGTTTTCATGCGACGCGAGACAATACCCCCACTTCGTGGGGGGGCAGTTCAAGCTCTACCAAATATCCAAACGACTCTTCGCGACCACCCAAACCCAGCTTCCCGCCCTATGACGTTGGGACACTTCACTTCGTGGCGTGCGGACGACCGTGGCTACTACACTGGCGTGGGGTACACACCCACAGAACTTGGTCACTTATTCGGGGCGCGCGTGTGCCCAGCATCCTGCAATTGTGACATACAATACATGACACAGACAGACAGAGAGAGAGACAGAGAGCAGACAGAGAGAGAGACAGAGAGAGCGGAGTTGGTCACATTTTTGGGGCAAGTTCCTGAGATCGTCGTGTTTTTTGTTGGTCTTGCGCGCGCGAATGTCCACTTTCACTTTTTTTTGCAAGGGAATATTGATTATGTTAGAACAAGAAAAAGTAGCTCGCGCGAGCTCATGTAACATAAATGTTGAAAAACCATTGGTTTTGTGGGAGTCGGACAGCGCGCGCGGGATGAAATTTGGACATTTTTTTTTGAAAAACCATTGGGTTTTTGATGTTTTTATGTTGAAATCGTTACGAAACCTAAGGTTCTGGAAGGATTTCGTCTTGCGCGCGCGAATGTCCACTTTACCTTATTTTTTGCAAGGGATTATTGAAATTTGATTATGTTAGAACAAGAAAAAGTAGCTCGCGCGAGCTCATGTAACATAAATGTTGAAAAACCATTGGTTTTGTGGGATTCGGACAGCGCGCGCGGAAGGACATTTTGACAATTTTTTCTTAAAAAACCATTGGGTTTTTGATGTTTTTATGTTAAAATCGTTACGAAACCTAAGGTTTTGGAAGGATTTCGTCTTGCGCGCACGAATGTCCACTTTACCTTATTTTTTGCAAGGGATTCTTGCAATTTGATCAAGTAAGAACAAGAATTTTCATTTTATAGTGTTTTTTGCAAGGGAAAACGAGCGTCAACAAAAAACCGGATCCGGTACCAATCCACTTTTCTGGAGCTTTCGCAGAAAAATGATGAAAATGTAGCTGCGGCCTAGGCGCGGCGCAGAGGTCGCGCACCAGGGGTCCCAACAATAATAATTCTTTAGAAGGAATAATATTCAACAACAACGGTTCCCGCCTGATACTGCCTCGCAATGTCCTGAATTACACGAAAAAACCATCAGTGGATGTTGAGATCGCCTGTGAGATCGGTAGTGAAACCGGTAGTGGGACCGATCGTAAGGACGATAATATGGTCGATCGTGAGACCGATGGTGCACACGATTCTGTGAGATCGATCGAAAATACGATCGTGAGATCACTCGCGCGATCAATAATGGAATCGACTATGACAACAATAAAGAAGCGGGTAATGAGATCGATGGTGAGACCGATCGATAAAGAGATCGACAAAAACCCGGGAACCCCGAAACCCGGGAACCCCGCCGCCCACCGAAATCGGTCCCGAACTAGCAACAAAAAGCCCAGGAACCCATAACCAGGAACCCGGGAACCCGGCCGCCTACCGAATCTGCCTGGCACTTCCGCCAAATCTTTCAATCGCCGCAAGGACCTTTTCAATGCAAGCACTGATTGGGGAAGAATCGCGCTTTCTCGCGGGACTTCCTCACAATGTACGCAGGACTCCGCTCTCGCGTAGAACGTCTTCACAAATTATTCACACGCCGCGCCGTCCGACACTCAGGAATCACGCTCTCGCTATGGATTTTCTGACATTCTACTTGGGAATCGCGCTATCGCTCGAGACTTCCTGACGCACGCTTCAGCAACCCGCCTGCTCGACCTGGCCGCGTGGGCCCGACTTCCCGACCCGCCCGTCGAGGTCTACCCGCCCGATCTGCCCGTCTGGTTCTGCCACGTGTTTTCTGCTCCCAGCCCCCCTCCTGCTACTCTCTCTCGTGCTCCATCCTCCTCTTCTCGCCCTTGTCCCTTTCTTCCATCCGTTCTCTCTTCCCCTGTTGTAGGGGCTGCACGAAATACGCGCGGCAGGTAGGGAAGATATACCTCCAAGGGGGTACGATCGAAGACGAAGAGGGCGGGGAGAACCTGGAAAGCCTGGTGAAACGTTGGGAAGAGCTAAGTTTCCGCCGCCTAGGGCTATCATGGGGGGCCTTCTGGAGCGTCTCGGGACATTTGAGGAGCATCCTGGCCTGTGGTCTGGCTGGTCTGGAGGCCATTCTGCCCGCTGTGAAACCGTCTTGGCGACGTTTTGGACCGTCTGGGGGCCACATTGGGCCTGTCAGGAGGCCCGCCGGAGCCCGCTGGGAGCGATTTGGCTGCTCGGAACTGCTATCCTTTGGGCACGCGCGGCTCCTGGCCGTAGAAGGTAAGGTAAGTTGTGGCTGACCTCCGGACTGCGCGCACGAAATCTGCACAAACTGGCATGTGATTGTGGACATGCTGCCGGGAGGCAGGAATGATGCCACGTGGGGCTCGACCCGCACATTCCACGCATGCTATTGCGTGCTGGTACTTGCTCTGGCTGGTGCGCGTTGTTGGTAATGCTTGTCCCTGCTGCGTGTTGTTGCTGCTTGTGCCTGCAGGGTGCTGGTGGTGGCCATCTCTGCCTGGTGCGTGCTGAAGCCCGCTGCCTGCTGCTGCTTGCCGTTCCTGTAATGCTGCCGCTGCTGCTGCCTGTTTCGCGCTGCGTGCTGCTGTCGTTCGTTACTGCTGCTTGACACTGCGGGGTGCTGTTGCTCGCTGTTTCAGCTTGCTGGCGCAACCTGCTGCCAGGGGAGGATTGAGTCAGGATCGAGGCGATCGGGAACGGCGGGGTGAGAAGGGAGGAGCGATCAGCGAAAAGCGAGGAGCGAGAAGGGAGGAGCGACGGCCTTGGGAGAGGGGCGAGGAGGAGGGAAAGCCTAGGAGGAAGAAGGCGTGAAGGGGGATGGACCTTTTGGGAGTCTTCTCGAGAGGGGGCGCCTCTCGGGATGCTTGCCGGGGGCCTCTTGGCTGTCTCTTGGGGATCCAATCCTCCTGGGCGTTCTGGTGCCATTTCGGCCTTCGGGCCACTGTGGGCTGTTTTGGAGGGGTCCGGGGAAGTTCGGGGGCTCCTGGAGTCCATCTTGGAGCGTTATTGGGCCGCCTTGGACCCGTCTTGGGACAGTTTGGGCGGCCTCTCGGGCCGTCTCGGAGCCCTACTGTGTCGTCTTGGAACCATTATGTGCCGTTTGGGCTCCTCACGAGGGGTTATAGCCGGCCGTCTTGGGTCAATGTCGGGGGCTTCTTTGGCCGTGCTGGGGGTTCCAAGGACCGAAGAAGCGAGCATGCGGAAATCGTTTGCAAACCAGTTGGGGCTTCATGTTTTTGCTACTGAAGGCGCTTAGAAGTGTCCTCTTGGAGGCGTCTGGGGTCGTGTTCGGGGCCTGTTGGGCCTTCTTTGGCCCCCTTGCGGCGTTCTTGGATTGTGTTGGAGCTCCCTGGCGCCCTCTTGGTGCCCTCTTGGCTAGTCGTGCGCCTCTCTTGGAACGGCATCTGGGTGGGCTCAAGCTTCGCCTCCCACATGTCCCTGAGCAACGCCACCGCCCGATGCCACTGCTCGCCCTGTCCGCACGCGCTGATCCCAGCGTTGTAGCTGATGACGTCGGGCTCCAGACTTGCCTCCCGCATCTCGCTCAACAGCGCCAGCGACCACTGCCATTGCTCACCCTTCTCGCACGCAATGATCCCAGCGTTGAAGCTGACTAGGGCTGACCCGCGGCCTCCGGCCGCGGAATTTGCTCACCCTGGCGTGGACGTGGAAGTGGAGCGTCTCTGGGGCCTCGCGGTAAAGGGAGGTTGGAGGGGACGGCGTGGATAGAGGAGGTGGCCGCTGGAGGGGAAGGTGGGCGAGGGATGCAGGCAAGCAGGCCTGAAGGCAGGAACGCAGTGGTGGACGCGGTGTCAGTGGAAGCACACCCATGTGGGCATGACATGGTGTGGACAGAAGGTGTTTCTGACGCCGCAGTCTGTGTTTATCATAGCTTCTGCGGGGAAGGTAGCCGTGATTAATTTATCTGCTCTTCGCCGGGGCCGAATGATATTTTCATCTGGCAGAGTGGTGACAATGGGGCCAGTGGGCGCGGCCTAGGCCCGCAAGAGGGCGGCGAGACGGAACTCCCTAAGAAGGGCCCCAGTGCGAGGACACGAATCGACTTTTCGAGCGCACCTCCCCAAGACGTCTCCAAGTAGCGCAAAGATGGCTCCCAAAGGGTCCAAAAAGCCTCCAAAACGATGCTGGAAGCTCGACGCTCCCCAAGAGAGAAGCATCCAAGGCCTCTCGGGGGCCGCTTGGGGGCATCTTTTCGTCCTCCTGGGGGTGGGTCTCTCGGAGCCATCTTTGGCAGTCTTGAGTGCATCTTGGGCCGTCTTGGGGCGATGTGGGGCCGTCTTGGGCGCCTCTCGGACCATCTTGGGACAATCTTGGGGCCATCTTGGGCCAATATTGGGCGCTACTGGGGCTGTCTTTGGTGTTTCTTGAACCGTCTCGGGCGCCTCTGGAACCGTCCCGGACGGCCCAAAGACCGTCTTGGAGACTGTCCAAACGGAAAGGCTTGGAGACGGTGCGGCGGGGGCCTCTACAGCCGTCTTGGAGACGGGGCGGTGGAGCCGTCTTGGGCCATTATGAACTGCTCTTGGGGCTGTCTTGGGTGCGTCTTGGGCCGTCTCGGGCGCCTCTGGAGTTGGCGTGTCTTGGGCCTGCTACGCCATTTGACCAGAATCGCCCTTCTCGCACGCGCGGGGCCCTGCATTGTAGTATAGACTACGGCTGACCCGTAAGCTCCGTTTACGACATCTTTCTGGAATTGCTCTCGCATCGTACGCGGAGGTTTCGCCGAAAACATTTAAGTTCGGCCGCAGCTGGGGCGGCGGTAGCGAGACCGCGCCTTCGTGTCTGAGCTCTCGCAACGATCCAGCAGCTTGGCCCCGGCGCACGGTTCGTTCACCCCCCTCCTATTGGGGGCAGTTTTGAAATCTTTCGGGCATGTGCGTCAAAGTCGAAGCCCATCTGAGACGCCTCAGGAGCGCCCGGGGAAGGGCACGGGAGTTTCTCGAGGAACGCCACCAGGGGCGCAAGGAAAGCTCGCAAAGATCTCCAGGGAGGGCCCAAGAGAACTTCAAGACTGTGTGACTTTCAAATACATCTTAACAGAACCCGCAATTGGGTCGGACGTGCTCCGCTACGTTGGGGAGGCCGCCTTGTTGGAGTTGTATGTAAGGCGAAGCTTTCTCGGGCGTCTCATGCGCGCAAGGGCTCCTCTCTTGGATGCAGTTTTGAATTCTCTTTCGGCCTTCTGGGGGGTGGAGGGCCTCTTAAGTCCTGTTTTGGGCCTCTTCGGGACCTCATGGGACCCTCTCGGGCCGTCTGGGCTCCTCTTGGGCCGTTTTGGGCGAACGTTCAGAGTTCCGCACGTCATGTGGATCCTCATGAGGCTCTCTTCTGGGCCTTTTCGGGTTTCCTCCTCCTCCTCCTCCTCCTCCTCCTGCTCCTCCTGCTCCGCCTCCGCCTTCTTGCCTCGATTCTGCATGCCCTGGATCTTGGATCGTCAATCGTGGACCCTCGGAGCATCGAAAACGGCTGTTCGGGCCTGCGTTCTGCCTCTCACCTCTCGTACGCCCCCCCTCCGTTGGAGGGAATATGTACGTAGGCACTTAAAACCTCTTGGGGGCTGTGTGGGGTTTCTGTGCCGTTTGGGCCGTCTCGGAACCGTCTTGGGCGGTCTTCGGTGCCTCTTGGGCCGTCTGGAGACCGACTTGGACCGTCTTGGGCGGCTCTTGGGGCTGTCTTGGGTGCCTCCGGGGTAGTCTTGGGGCAGTCGTGTGCCGTCTTGGCCGCCTATTGGGTCGTCTTGGGCGTCTCTTGGGCCGTCGTGGGCCGATGGGCGCATCTGACGCCGATCTTGGGAGGTTCTGTGGCCGTCGTGGGCGCGTCGGAGGCGAAAAGTATGAGTATGCCACACATGTCAATTTTCCGGTGGGGATGGTGCGATTGTTGCGTCTCGGAGCTGTCCTGGGGAATCCTCGAGGGCCGTCTTTGGATGCTCCAGGCCTGCCCTGGGGGTCCTTAGGGTCGTTGTGGCGGCCTCTTGAGCGGCTCCGAGCGTTCCTGGGGCCGTCGGGGTGGCGTCTGCAGCGGTTCGGAACCGTTTTGGGGTCGTCGGGGCGCCCTCTTGAGCGGTTCGGGGCCGTTTTTGGACCGTCGGGGTGGCCTTTGGAGCGTCTTGGAGCCGTCGTGGGGCCGTCGGGGCGTCTTCTTCAGCAGCTCGGAGCCGCCCGAGAGCACTCATGAGGACCCTCTGGGGCTCTCGTCGTTGCCCTTTGGGCCGTCTGGGCCGTCTTGGGCGGCTCTTGGGGCTGTCATGGGTGCCTTCGGGGCATTCTTGGGGTCACTTTGGGGCCGTGGTGGGCGGCCGTCTTGGGCGCCTATTGGGCCGTCTTCGGGCCGTTTTTCGCCGTCTTTGGGTTTTTTGCGTGTTCCTCTGGGGCCGTCTTGGGCGCCCTCTCGCTGCTCTTTGGAGCGTCCTCTTGGAGCTTTCTCGGGCCCTGTTTGGGACTTCTTGGGCCGACTTATGAGCGCTCGTGAGCTGTCTAAGCGCTTGCTGGAGGCCATCGTGAGCACTCTGGAAGCCCGGTCGCGCTGGCGCGGGGCGTTGCTTGGCCAGGACGGCGTCGCTCCTCGAGCGGAGCCTCGGAGGCACCGCGGGCTCGGGGAAACACGTGATCCCTTCTGACACGCAGAATGCTCGATACATGGATGACGTCCGGCTCCAGCTTCGCCTTCCACATCTCGCTGAACAGCGCCAGAGAGCGTTGCCATTGCTCACCCTTCCCGCACGCGCTGATCCCAGCGTTGTAGCTGACTAGGGCTGACCCGTGGACTACCGTCCACGAGATCGCACTCGGATGCAAAAGTGAGGATTGCAGCGCATGCGCGTTGTACAGCTCTTATCTAAGAGAGCACCGTTGATCGCTACGTGGCATGGCAAATATAGCGAATCATGGCACGCGACAAAACACCGTGGAGGGAGCGCGCTAGGACGCTCTCGACACGCTCCGACTGACGGCGGAGTTCGAGTGGGCCGGTCCAGACGGTTAGTCGATCGGACCTTCGACATGATGGCAAGTTGCAGAATCCGGTCGGACCCAACCAAGGCCAACCATGACGGCAACGCTGAACCGTTAAAGCGAAGACTTCGCATATAAATTTGCCCAGCTAAATGAATGAAGAGATGCCGCTCAGCTACCAAGATACCGCTCAGCTACCAAGTCGCTAAGCAACAGCACGTGCATGGCACGCTCGCTCTTATCGCACGCGCCGAGTCCACTTGCGTTGCTGATAAGGTTTTCTTGTAGGTGAAACTCAGGGGTAGCACATGGCACAATCATTATTAGGGCCGTCTTGGGCTGTCAAAACGAGGAGGCCCGAAACATTCCAAATACAAGGTTTTCGATGCGTGTGGCCGCCTTGGGGCTGAACGAACGGGGAGGCCGCCTTGGGCCTCTTCTAGGCCGAATTGGGGGCACCTTGGAGCCACCTGGGGCTGACCTGAAGCGCTTTGAAGCTCTTTGGCCACTGTGGGCTGGCAGGCACTGGCTTGGGGGCTCCGCCGGTGACCCTGTTGGGTCGTCTCGGGACCGTCTCAAGGCAGTCTGGGGCTATTCTGGACGCTGCTTGGGCTCTCTGAATCCCTCCTGGTGCCGACTCGCCGACCCCCTTGGACCCATCATTGGGAGCCTCTCGGTGGGCTCTGGCCCAGACGTCCCAGCCCCATAGCACCCTGCTCTAGCACGCACTGCGTCAGAACATGGATGCGGTCGGGCTTCAGTGTCGCCTCCCTCACCTCGCTCAGGGCCATCTTGGGCCGTCTTGGCGTCCCCATCGGGGCCGTCTTGGGCAAACTAAGGCCTCCCCTGGGTCATCGTCCGGGCCTCCGGGGGCCCTTTGGGGCATTCCTAGGGCCGACTTGGGGGCTTCCTGCGTCATTCTGGGGCACGCTTGTGCCGTCTTGGAATCTGTCTGGGGCAGTCTGGCTCTTGGACAACTTCGAAGCCGCGCGAAACCCAACTGAAGCAATTTATCTGGGGCCTCTCTTGGCGCCTCTGTGGCCCTCTCTTGGCCTGCTATGCACCCTGCACCGCCTCTTAGGGTCTCTGCGACCGTGTTCAGCCCGTCCGGGATCTCTGAAGCCGTTTCTGAGGCCTTATTGGGGCGCTCGGGGCCAATGTGGGAGGGTCTGGCCCCGCTGGCCTGTTTGCCGAGCTGCCACAGTGCGCCTTTCTCGCACGCACTGGTTCCGGCATTGTAGAAGATATCACGTCGGGCTCCATCTTTGCTTCCCACATCTCGTTCAGCAGCGCCAGCGCATGCTGCCACTGCTCGCCCTTCTCGCACGCGCTGATCCCAGCGTTGTAGCTGACCAGGGCGAACCCGTGGACTTCGTCCACGTCATCGCCAGTCTTGGCTCGAAAAGGCCGTCTTGGGCCTGTCTTCGCTTGAAATGGCGAGAAGGTGGAAATCTGTCAGAAACCATGGAAGAATCAATGATTTTGTTTTCTGGGGCGTCTTCGAGCGGTCTTGGGCCGTCTCGGAGGCCCTCTTGGACCGCTTCCTTCTCTTCGTCCGCCTTCCG